CAGGAACAGGGCTGGCATAGTTTCATTTGTCTGAGTTTTTATCAAGTTTGTAATTTTCCTGACAAACCACATAATACTGATTTGTGCAACCCGTACAATTAATTTGAACATGAAAATCTGGAGATTAATGTTAAACTTGCCTTTGGAAATAGTGTTCACAGAATCTTCGTTGAAATTTCTAACATGTTTTTTCTCCTTGCTTCAAACCCAGTCAAAATTTCTGTGCTAAAAACATTAATGTGTGTAGTGGCTTTTCTGGATAGAGCACAAATAAAATGTATTGGAAAAGCACGTGAGTAGTTTTAGAGCTGGAACACTTCGCTATAAAGGCAGCTGGCATTATATGTGGATTTTCATAAGCAATTCCACAGTTGCTGATTCATGTGATTTTCCTTAGCTTTGATAAATAGTCAGAAAAGTTTCTGACTTGGTTGTTAAAACTGAGATTATATACTTTGCCGTATTTGCTATTTTTCACATTTTTGGCTGATGTTTTCTTGAATCTGGGTATCTGCCCAATTTAAAAGACAAATAAAGGTAAAACAACATATTAGAGCAAATGCATCACAGTTTCAGTTAGAAGGGGATTAAAAAAACCATACAACCATCATTAATGTATGCATCAATTCTAAAGCCATTGCAGGTCGTTGTGAATTCCTCAGTGACTGGATTTCCATAGCACACCTGTTCAAGTTTGTAAATGCTTGATCAGAAAAAAACGAACCAGGAGCTGATTTGATTAGTTGCTTGAAATATTTGCAAGAAAGAAATGTCTTAGCTCTGATTCGAAATTCTTATTTATGAATAATCTTTACGTGCCTAACCCTTCATTACCTTTGCTTCCTGTAGGAATTAAACTAAACCTAAATAGAGGAACCACTGAATACTGCTGATCAGAGAGCGCTGCCTTACAACGTGACTTGATTGTTCAAGTTGGGGTTGTGTTTTCTTTTGAGATTTACTTTGATGACATATAGAAGTATAACCATCTTTAAATAAAGAGATCCAAGAAAGTGGAAGGGATTCTACAACTTCAAACAGTCTTTTGTGGGTTTTTATTATAGTAAGATACAGACTGTCTTATTAAATTAAAACCCAGTGGATTATTAACTGGTTGTTATTGTTGTACCCATGAGTGTGCAGCTCTTTTTCAGGTGTTGCATGATGTGGGGTGTGGGGATTTTTCATCCACCACAGAGCACATCTCATACCAAATAGTAATGTTATAATATCAATACTTAGAAAGTGAAACTAATTCTGCAGTACTTTACCAGAATATAATGCATTTGTGCTCTAAATGAGGCATTGCATTTTCCATTATTGTGCCATAAAATCACTTATTTTCCCAGATAAATTGAAGTGTTATTGTCTTCAGAATAGGATGGCTGCTTATTTACATTCCAGTTAAAATGTAAACTACATAAAGCCAGTGTATTATCCATTTAAAAAAAAAAAGAAAAAGAAAAAGGAAAAATTCAAGGTTTGATTTGAGAATCAAAACCAGAGATGATAATAGAATAAAACTCATAATTTTGCTGCAGAACAGTTCAGGTGGTACTTGTACTAAAACATGCAAAATGGTGTGTACTATAACTGTATTTCTTTATCCTTAAGAGTTTATAGAATTTGCTAGTACAAACTTTTCTTTAAGTAGTGATAGGTGGAAAATAAACATCATTTTATTACAGACAACATTATTTTATCATTGTATTAGATAAAGATATCTGTCCTCTGTACGTAGGAAGTAGCAGTAAGCATTTAGGTAGAGAGATATTTAAAATATTTGCAATTTTTGTTTTTAAATACACTAATGTGCACACAAGTAACTTTTGATTCATATTTAACGGTGGGTTTTATTCCAGTAAACACTTTATACAAACTTCAAAACTGATCTGGAAAGGCAGCTTTTAACTTTGTTGTTGTGACTTAGGCTATAGTCATTATGAATATGTTTTGGCAAGGATAGCAATGTTATTTCTTACATTTGTATTCAATGGCTGGATGAATTAGTGGTCTTACAAAGCCATCTGTTACTGGCTTGAATCCTTTTAGCAATAGAGAACCCTTCCCATCCTTAGGTAATCTTCATTAATTACCCTGTGACTGAGTTTTCTCTTATTTCTTGCATGAATCTTCCTAGCTTCTGCCACAAGATATATATATTTATTATTTTTTTTTTTCAGACAGCTACATGTGGACCATGATCTCTTTTTTCTCTCAAAAATAAACTGAGGCTTTGTTAGTGTCTTTGTAAAAACTTGAATTATTGCATTGCAATTTTTTTTGCAGTCATTTTCTGAAAGTTTGCTCCTATTGTCCCAAAAATGTGGACACCAGCTTGATGCAATATTTAGTGAGAGCCTCCCTAATATTGTGTGTAGGGGGAAGAAGGAAAAAACAACAATGTTCT